GGACTCACACGAGAAAAAGAAAAAGAAAGAGGAAATCAACCAATGGAAAAGAACAAAAAGGAGGTTGAAGTTGAGGTTTACTTTTGCGGTTCCTTATTCGCATTGTTTTCTTTTGGTGAAATAATTTCCACAAGAGGTAATACTAATTTAATTTTGTATTAGTTTTATGTCATGATAATGCGAGAATAAATTGCAATATATATTAAAGTTATTAAAAATTTCGCGTATGTTTAAACCATTAATATTTATTCATGTTATTGTATGAAGTATGTTCAAACGTTCATATCAGTTTTATGTTTAGATCCTTGGTATAATTATATTTAGTGTGAAATTATTATATCAAACCATGATTTATTTTATATTTAAATAACCTATAGTTTATTTTATATTTAAGTAAAATTATTGTCCAAGTCATGTAATTTTTAATAATTAGTTTATAATGATAACATGTGTAGCTATTATGTAAATATATTCATTTTAGTTAATATAGAATTTTTATTTAACGTTAGTGACCTAAAAAAAATCGAATAAAAAATGAAAAAATATAATAATAATAATAAAAGGAAAAAGGAAAAGTTAAAAAAAAATTGTGAAAAAGAACATACAAAAAAAGAGGGAAGAGAGAAAACAAAAAAAATAATAGAAAAGAAGTATAAAAATAATATAAAAAAAATTCAATTGAAGAGGAAAGAATTTTTTATATTTATATTTTGAAAGTTTCTTTGTCCAAAAAAAAAATTAAGTTAAAAAAAACAAATAAAATCTTGAAAGTATAAAAAATAATAATAACAATAAATAATAATAATAGCAAAAGATGAGAAAAAAATGTAAAAAATAGAATAAAAATAAAAATAATAATAAAAACAAAAGAAATAATAATAATAAAGAATATCTTATTTTATTCTGCTTTGCTTGATTTAATTTATATGTGTATATATATATTTTAATTAAAGGGCGTAGATTAATAAAATAAGGTAGTTTTAATATATTTATATAAGTCAAAGTGAGGGTAAATATATTTGTCTTAATAATACAATATTCATAAATTAGTTTAAGTCATAAATGTCCATAAAACGACCGTGCTAGAACCACGGCACTCGAGGGATGCCTAATACCTTCCCCTTGGTCAACAGAATTCCTTACCCGAACTCGTTCGCAGACCAAACAAAGAGTCATTTCCTTTTGATTAGGGATTAAACAAAAAAGGTGACTTCGAACACCGTAACTCAATTTCAAGTGGCGACTCTGAAAAAATCAAAATAATCCCTTAATTAATAACGTCACTTAAATTGGAAAAACCCTTATGCCGCTGCGCGAAAAAAGAGTGTGACAACACTTAATTTAATTTATTAATTTGACATTACATGCAACTTACCGGACAAAAATATATGATCGAAGTTTAAGTCAAAATGGTAAGCAATGACCATTTATTACTAATATATTATAAATAAAGTGCAAAATACAGAAAGTTGGCAGGTGATGGGCCTTTGTTAACATCGCAGAAGTCCGATGAAATACAAACAAAAATCTTAAAAAGGGGAAAAACAAACACATCACTAAATATATATAGATTTAAAATTGGATTAAAGTATAAGTGATCTTAATTCTGAATCTGGCAAGTTGTGCACAACATGAGACTTTGAGATGTTTCCCTTTTAAATAACTCAAATCAAGAAGTAATTAAAAAAATTGAAAGAATAATTAGGAACCTAACTCTTATCTCATCCAAAGATATATAAATATATTTTATCTTTGTCAATTAGTCAATGGACACATTTGTTTGAGAATATCACAGTCGGTTGGGCATATATTGATAATGAATTCCATTTCTAATACAATGACTTGATTATTGAGAAAGTTATGAATTAGGTATTGTTCGGTCAATTAATTTATTGATATAATTAAAGTCTGTATATATATTGTTTATATGATTGAAACAACATAATTTAATTCAAATAAGCAGTATGTAATTAAAATTTTTGAATTAATAAATTCATATATTTGGGAATAAAGTTATTTTAACGACGAAACAAATCTTGAGATATCAAACCTTATCCTCCGTGCTAAATGGACTTCTATAATTATTGTATTAGTACAACTTCAAGTCACGTCATTGTTTATTCTTTATAATTTCTCTTTGTTTCCTTCTAATAATAAATCCCATAAACATAGCAGATCTATGGAGAGTTGCTTTTTCATTTATAGTGAATCATAGTGTAAACACACAGAAACTGGAAATGACGTTTTTGGAACTATTTGAAAATTATATATAATAGCAAACTAATAACCTAAAATAAATGGAGTAGCTAGAGTTTGATTTAATTGTGCTCCATAGCAAACGTTTGTAAAAAATTGTCACGCGCCTCTCTCCCAAATATCTCGCTCGCCACTCTCCTCTAATCTCTAGCTCGCTTCCTCACTTTTTATACAAACACAATTGTATAAATACATATATTTTTGTTCCCCTCTCTCTCCTCTTTCAGATCTCGCTCGCCACCCTCACCTTTCTCACTTATACAAACAAAAGCGAAATGTATAAATTGTGTTTCTGATTATAAAGCGTGAGAAAATTGTATATACACATGCAAGTACATATATTTTCGTCCTATACATTTATAATTATACAATAAAAATACTCCCTACCTCGTTTCTTTTGTCTTTCTCTCTTTCTCGTTTTATACAATTTTCAAATTGTATCTAATTTCTCTCTTTTGCGTTTTATACAATTCGATTCAATTGTATATTCCTTGTCAAGTCTCTTTTGTCTTTCTCTCTTTCTCATTTTATACAAATTCAAATTGTATATAATCATTCTATACACTTATAATAATACAATTCGTTTTGTACACTTCGTTTTTATA